TAACCTGTCGTGGAGAAGTTATTTCGGTGTTCCTTCCTAACCGCTACTGTCTCTCACTCCCTTCTTAGATATCTTTTGACTACCCCTTACACCACAATTCATGTATAAAAGAAGTTCACAATTACTTTGAACAGTCAAACCATCATAATTTTTCTCTCTGTTTCAGGGCAGTTGTTCCCGATTTCTATCTTAAGGTTTCCCGGCTGTACGGTTACACACTCGCGGACCAGGTTCTCCCTCTCCGTGCCTCCTCGTCGCGCGATGGGCGACGAGTGTTTTGAAGACAATTTGCCACCTGAAAAGCGCCAAGAAGTCGAAGTAATTTGTTCAGCATATTCCATCCAATTCTCCTCGGATATTTTAGTGCGAACTAGATGTGCTAAATCAGACTGCATCACAAATCAACGATTTGGAGAATAAACTACTGGTAAGTTGCACTTGTCACTTCTTCCACCCGAATAACTCCATGAAGGTGGCTAGGCTTAATTACCAGGAAACTCTGACCGCGAATACGAACCAACTAAAAGCCTTGAGTAATCGGTTAGGCAAATGTGTCCAACGCAGCAGACCATACTACGAGTTATGTGAATCCCAGGCTGAACGGCTCGCACAGATACAAAGGGCAGCAAAGCGTTACACAACTGCCATCGCCTCGTTAAATTTGGCGCGTGAGGAACTTGCCAAGTTGGAAGCCACCATTGCAGGTTGTAGGGACACGAGTGGTCTGGAAGACATGAATGAAACCATATTCCGCGTAAGTTTTTATCGCCAACTTTGTTTTCCCACTTACGGTATTTTCATTTGTTGATTTTTAACAATTTTTATCAAATTCAGATTTTTATTATGGATAAATTGCAAAGCTGATTCTCATTGAATCCCATAGGATCTGTGCATACTGTGTTTGGTTGGCAGTACAATTAAATAGCAAATTATAACGTTCACTCACGGGTGCTGAAACGTTATGTAGTTCAATGCTTCATCCAGTCGTGACTTGAATGAATCGATGGTAGTTGTTGCACAAACAACTTGAGGTGGAAGAGAGTTCCAGGTATTACAAACTCTAAGGCTGAAAGAATCATGCCTGCAGTCTAGCCGACTATTTTGGAGCAAAGGTTTAATCGGATAGTGTTAGTAGAGTACTACACGGGTGGTTAGGTTGATGTACTATTTGTTATACGAGGATCATGTTTCCCTGTATTCGACAGTTTTCAGAGGAATAATTATGACTCACTGTAAGGTGTATGTAGGGCTGTTAAATCATGTGCTGTAAAGAGGGATCTGAATAGGGAAACATTTGCAATGAACCTAGTTTATTGCTTCTGCACATGTGATGTGTTCTCTAGTAAGATGCGTATTTCTTATTTACACTACTGTCGCTACGTGTTACAATAATAATAAGCCAATGTTTCGGCTCCCGCCAGCAACTTCTCACTAAAGGCAACCGACCATTCCATGACAACGAGTGGTCCTAAATCTAATTAGGAAAAATTATCGTGTCCGGGAAGTTTCCATTTTGCGCACGATTTGCGAAGTGATAGGGGAAGCCCGTTGATTCTACCGTCAAAATCACGTTTTTCGTTAAAATATCAGCCAAATACTGAACAAGCAGTGTGCAGTGCAAATTTTGTTGGTCACAATTTCACCGGCATTATATGGAATTGCAACTCAGCAATGCAGCAAAAAACAAAGATAATGCTGCGTGCCAGTCTTAATCTCTTCGTTTGCCTCGCTTTTTGGTTGTCATAATTAGACGAGCATACAGGCCGTAACGCTGTAGTATCGATATATATATATATGCATTGCAAATGGTTCACAGCATCTTTCACTGTGTCAGAGTATGCAAATCTTGGAATGCCCTTCCATCTCATGTCGTTTGTGCACCCACTATTGAATCTTTCAAGCAGAGACTCGATGAAATCTTGGCACACCTCACATTCGTACACTAAAGGCAAACGGGATTCACTGTAGCCTACATTCTCTATCTCCCACCCGGATCCCTGTATGACTCCTTTTTTGATGTGTGACGAATCGTCTATGTAAACATCCTAATGGGACAAAGAAGCACCAGCTTGTAAGCTATTCCCATAATAAAACTTTGACTTTGGAACTTTGACTTTGTCATATGCACCCGTAGAAACATCTGACGTCCGTTAGCCATTTGCTATTGTTCTGGATCAGTCAGTAGTAGAAGATCTGGTACGGTTACATAATGAGTTTCATCAAGTACAGACCGAAGGAAATACTAGCCATGCAATCTAGTAAAATCGTTCACTGTTCACTCAGTACCAGACCCTAATATAGTCTTATTCCAAAAGACCCTAAGCGACATCCGTTTTTAATCCTGTAGATACAATTACTAGTTACAAATTATTGATAAACATTATAGATTGATGGGTAGTTTGAAACAAGCAGTAATGAAACTGGAAATTCGATTTGCGCCTTTGAGAAGCTGACTTTATGGGGCCGGAGAGGGCGAGGGGGGTGTGTGTGTCTCATAGATACTGATGCACTTGTGTTCAAAATGAAACTGTTGGATCAACTACCAGCTGGTCAAGTGAGTAGTAAGTATGTTTGCGTTTTTTGTATCCGTGAGATTCTCAGTTCGGTCTCCAGTTGGGTCGATAAATTCGCATTGCAGATGAGAACCTGAAAAGTGGAAACAGCTGCACAATGCTTTCCAGTTCTCGTTTTCTTTGGTCTGAACACAATAAAATTCGTCATGTAATTTCCTACTGTTTTCTTTCCATTCGTTTAATTCTTTTTTTTCGCTTCTTTTTCGTTTTGGTAAAGGTTATAGCCTTCCAAGTGTATAGCAGCAAAATAGTAAGTAATCACTAACTAACCAATTAACTAATTGCTCTATTTGGAAGATTTAATACCGTTTACGAATGCCTTGGCCACATCCCATCTGAAGGCTCTAAATTCCCTTTATCCAATCAATCAACATTGATGAAAGTACTCTTTATGCACCTGGAGTGTAACCCGTAGTCAAGCGAACCCCACCGGTTGCCTTTTTATTTAGTTTTGAAGTCATGAAGCATGCCGTGCCCCAAAGTCTTAGGTACCCATTTGGAGAACCATCC